CACGATCTGTCTGACTGTACACCGGCTCTTAATAAATTGCAGATTTCAGATACATTGTCAAACTATCCTTTAAGCTAGGAGTTGGCAATCCGATGAGTCTGGATGAATGCGCCTAAGCTAGGTTAAATTCCAGTAACGAAACAATTCTTGGTTGATTTGCATTTTGTTAGATCGTTATTCCGTCTTTAGTATAATAAGCAATTTGAAGCTAGACAGTTGTTAAATATCAGTGAGTTGCGGTATTACTCCTGAATTGACTTCTTTCTGACTGATCGCTTATTTAAAAAGAAATCAGGTTTAATCCTCTTGATTAAAAGAATTCTCATTGTATTTATTAACGGATGTGCTACCTCGTCACTGCAATCCGACCCTCCTACCCCGTATGTTACCTTTTCAAATTAATACTTCAACCATCAACTCGTTATGGTTGGAATTATGACGCAAGTTTACAGAGCCATCTGGCTCTTCCCTGTGTGTAGTTTCCGGTATAAAGTAGACTAACTCGTTTCAAATTAAGCGATTGTGAATCGTGCTGGCAATCGTTTGTGATTAGTTTCGACATGCCAGTGAAGATAATTTGGTATATCAAAACTTACGAACTGGTTCAATTGTAATCATGACTCCTGTGGGAAGGGGTTCGCAAAATGACCGAGGGATTTAGTGAAATGGATCATAACAAACACATAAAGGGAATTGAGGAACTCAGTGCTCGAAAACGAATGCTTTAGTACCCATGATTCTGGTCTCTATAGTATTTGCTATCCATCTTTCCAGGAGCAATTGATGGACATAAAACATGCACCTCGCCACTGTCGCCGCAACCAGGTTAGAGTGTTTCCAAGAGAGTCATAATTGTGAAGGCTAGTGCTGAGAGGCGCAAGATATGATGCTTGCATTAAACTCAAAAAGATGGGTTGTACTATATCGTGTAGAAGGAAACTGACAAACGTTCCGATCAGGTGCCCGGTGGCCGAGTGGGTAGCATGCTTGTGAGGCCCCCCTGGTTCGCGATCCCCAGTTGGGTCGATGAATTCGCACACTGCTGATTAGACCCAGCCAGGTCGAAAATGCTGTCCAGTTTTCCTTAGCATTTCAGTTGACACTTCATTTGTTTGTACACGTTTAAATTACCAAATGATCAAACTGATTCCTCCATTTTTTCATCGATCTAAATGTTCTCACGTTTTGCTTTTGTTGCTTGAGGGGTATACCAAACTCGGACTATCTTGGCGCCTTCCTTTGTCTCATAAAATTGAATATGCATCACTTAGTTCAGAATAATCAGCTCAATTGTTTACGTCATTCATTCGACCGAGTCTTTATTTGGATCGATCGTGTAAATAATGATTTCTACAATACCATACGGTCCCCCACGAGACTCTTATTTAATCACCCCTAATGTTTTGCGTGTTCAAAATAATTTCCACGACATTGGATTCCCCCTTTGTCGGTTCCGTACCCCTATGATATTCTTCTTTGTCTTGATACATATGGATAGATGAGAGTTCTCAAAATCACTTAAACGTTTCATGCAACTAGTTTCTGATCGTATTTCCAAGAGAGTGAAAAGAACCATTTTGATGGCAGGATGTGTTAAAATAAACTATTTTGGGCAACAGTCTTTGGGAAAAAGTTTCTAGGGAGATCTTCCTGGGCCAGCTGGAGATTACTAAAGTACGACAGTAAACACGTCGTTCATTCAGCGGGGAGGATATCAGTGTTGAGCAACGAACGATGTGAAGGCCTGGCGAATTTGCTGACTCAAATCGTTTCCACCTAGTCAGGCCAGGACAAGCGATAGAGAGTGTCTCCATGGCTGGAGTTGGTCATAGGAGAACGCCGATTCTTGAGCAATAATGTCAGAGACTGATGAATTGGTATTGTTGAGGGCACTTTTGTCGCATTCATTAGCAACATATACACACGCAGTTGATCGTGAATCTGAAGTTTGTTCCCTACCGAGATGTCAAACTCATGGGAAGAAAGGACAGTTTTGTCATCAATTAATTGTAAACGTTTATGTCCAAGACAAGAAAGACGATCGTGGGTACAATAATCAATACAGAATTTTCGCGTTCCCCAATGGCACGACGACTAAATGCATAACCGAGTAAGTTTACCATGAAATATGTTGGGCCTTTGTCTAGACTAGAATGAAGGGGTACCGTCTCTAATAAAGCTGTTTTTATCATTCTGCGGTTTAGTGGCGATGAAAATGCTAGGCAGATAAAGCATAGATCAAAATGGGCAATGACAATAACCCATTGTTCTGCCTTCCTGATAGTATCACAAGACTAGTAACGAATGCCCACTGAATCTAAGATGGACAACTCGGACTATTCAAATACCTCTGCTCGTCTACCACGATCTCGGAGCATGTAATGCTCCAAGTATATACTCATTCTAATCACCCAATGTATGCTATGGATTACAACGACGTCAATCGAGCTAAAGCAAACTTCATGTTTTAGTTGGTCGGTCAAAAGACCAGCTGTTTACTACGGTTTACCGAGGCAACTAGCATTCGACTTTCCAAACCCGAACTACGTAAAGCGATCGAAATCGTGACCAAGTTTGAGTTGCCCAATTGAGTGTGACTGTTCCTCCTCCACCTGGAGTGATTAATTTCCCTACCCCCAGTCTGATCCGGTTGCGGTTTTGTAACGTTATACCTCGGCAATGATTGATTTATCTTCTCCGTGTTTTTGCACTTTTTCCCAAACCGGTAACTCTTTCAATCGATCATGACCTGGTTGTACATACATAGCTGATCAGAGTGATAGGATATCGTTGAGCCCAAGTATTCTACGAATGACTTACAACATCCACCTCGTTATTTCCCAGCGCATAAAATTAAATGAAAAGTTTCCTCATGGGATGCTCTCTGGCTCTTCTTACCATCTTATACTTCACAAGATCTAACCTTTCTGCTATCGCCTGCAGTCGAGTGAAATCTTTACCGTACATCACATGGTTGATCGTTGTGGCCTGTCCGCCCACGCGCATACACACGTCATGCGAAATTACTTAGCGATTCAGTATTGACTTTTCCGCATTGATTGGTTCGTTTATCGCCCAGCATGACAAACTCCTCTTTTTAATTACTCTTTCTCCATTTTGGCTTGCCTGTCGACTTACGTGTTTACGCACTGCGTGCTCACGGACCTACAGACCGGCTACATTTATATTTAACTCCTAGAAATACAACAACCACTTACCGCTTACTTATTTATTTGCTTCTACTGGATAGAACTGACTGGGTTCAAGTCTAGTTAGACTTCACGCAAGCACATATACATACACCCTCTCCACACACACTTTGTGGTACCTTGTCTCACCTATGTTCATGATGTCCGGACGGCATTGTTCGTGACTCAGTCACAACTCTGAACTCGCAACTGATTTGATTTCTTTCCAGTTTTATTTTTTCTTTCTGTTTCACGAGTATGAGATCTCAACGATCGTCGTCAGTTGTACACAAACTCCGGAATGTCAGTGAAAAGAGATTACAACAAACAACGCTCAATGAGTACCTATTCCGCTTTGTGAATGCGAACTACTATGAAAGCAAGAACGTTATGATCATGTGATGGTATTCCTAATAGTTTTGGACTACAGGAAAACTATTTCAAATACTATGAATAGATTAGATGATATTGTTATATGGGAAATATGCTTCGAAAAAGCGACAACTCGTTCCCGGCTTCGTCAGAATGACTGAAACAATGAGGATATCGATTAATGCAACAAATGCAATCCGACTACTGTCAAGCATTAAAGTAGTCCGTTTCAAAATAACGTTTTTACGACTTTGAAATATTTTTTCAAAATTTCTTTGGAGACCTTTGGCATACCGCAAATAATAAAGCCATTCCCAAGTTGTCTATCTGTGTGATCGGGAAATTTGTCTGCACTTTTCATCCGAAAATCAAATCTGTCCAGACTAAAATTGAAACGTCAACTTACTTCCCAACGGGGCTGGAATATCACAAACATGAAATGGGGTGGGGTAATTTTTATGCCGGCCGTTTCTCTGATATCAGTACTTCTCAAGGCAACATGATAATCGTGCGATTAGTTCAATCGTATTCGAACAGAAAAATAAAACTCCACCTTATTAATACCGACGATAAGAGGAATAGTAAACAGTATTTATCGTCTACTCATTCGCCTTTATTTGGACGGAAAAGTTGAACGGACGAGCGGATAATATGTTTCAGACCTAGGCGCAATCATGTGTGAATTAGGCTGAATTACTTGTTCGTTTACCATAAATTCAGAAAAAAATAATCATGAATGACCGAGTGAGATTGGAGTGGTTTTCGAACCCATGTATATCCAGGCGCTTCCCATTTCTGATTGATAAACCTCTTAACGACAATGAGACAATTTCATTCAGGATTCAAGCTAAAAATGTCGGAGAATTTTGCGTGGAATTTCATCGATCATATATGGTATTTTATCGGTATTTTCAATCAGTTTGGGGGTTGACTGCCGTTTGAGCTCGTTTGCAGTGCATAAATATCGGTGAGTGAATGACTGGACCCTCGGATCCCGCACACACATGAGTCGAGTACCAGCACTGTGCCGGACATCAAGGGATCTGGGGTTCGTAAACTAGTTTGGGAAAGCAAACACGTACGACTGATAAGCAACAACAAGAACCTGATACATTCTGCGCGTCTGGTTGACCAGATAAACAGAGGATTGTGTGTGAAGATGAAATCGAAGGAATGTTTAATCCATATCAAGGATAAGACTCAATAAATATCGTTGATCAAGTAATTGTGGGTATGTATGTATTGTTTTTTACTACTTGACGCTTAAACCATGAAGCTATTTCGAATAAGCAGTTATTTTATATATTGTAACACCTTTTACTGACTAAAGGCGTACAATATCGATGTAATTCGGCAATCCAAAACTGTAAGGGAATATAGGTAATTAGATAAATCAGGTGATTGATGAGGTAAGAGTAAAACATCGGACCTCAGGGATAATGTACCATGGACCCATGCTGTTCACTCTCGACTATCGGCATATACACAAGGTATACAGTACATTTATCAACAACAAGAAAAACAAAAACAACACAGCATAAACCTTGAGTGCGTGCTTGCGCGCGCATGTGTTACAATGAGAGCAAAGAAGACGACCGGAAAAATGCAACAGTTTGTAACTTACTGGAGGTGGCTGAAATAGCAAAATAACGCGGGTATTCGAAATTTGTTTTGCCTCTCAGCTTCTGGTCTATTTCCCCACAAATTCTATCGATTCGGCTTACGGAACACTTTCGAAATTTCAAATTGCTTGGTTAAATATCACCTGTAAAGCTGCTGTGTCTCACTTAAATATTTCAAACGGCATCACCTGAGTAATATTTAAGTTTGTGGCAAATCTCTGAATGGATACCTGTCAACTTTGAGAGGATATGTGGATAATTAATTAATTAATAATAATAACGACTGTTTGCCTCTCATTACCGGCCATAGAAACTCTATTTGCAAGAATAACTCGGTTTTAAGGTTCATCCGTTGAATACTCCGGACAGCTTTCAAGCGAAATACTGAATAGTATGTGGTTCTATTGATTAAGTTGGTAATCCGCATCAGTGAGTTGCAAATCTTTGAAACTAATCGTGATTTTACTATCCAAGTATTGATTTATTGTCTTATCTTGAACAAAGAACACAACACTGCTAGTGAGCAAAATTTAATTCCAAGATCATTTCGTTGTATCCCAGCTGGTGCTCACTGTAGAAACAAAATATTTTAAATATCACAGGCCATAACAACCTAACATGATATCAGTTCACTCTTCCGCTTACGCGGTCACCAGAACAATGCCACACTGATGTAGACCTCCTTCTGCTGGCACAGCAGGGGATTTTGGCGCTTGATTCTCATGACCTCTGCAAATCTTCGCAGACGTCCATCCGGGGTTGTGCAAACAACCCGAACCGAAGTCCCGTCATCGGCTTGATGGCCATTCTGTGGCAGATAGCGAGCAATTGATGACACAGGTGTTCTGTGAGAGTGGCTTAATGTTTGTGTAGCGCTCAATCTGATCCGCTAACGTTTTGACCCAGAACTTAGAAAAACCCGCAGGTAGGCAGACATGTTAAACAGTTCTATTTCGCCTGTTCGCCGAGCTTGGCAATTTGTTTGCAAACGTTTCATCACCAGCCGAGGTGACGTCATCAGTGCTTGTGAAGACCGCATCGATAATCTGGCAAACTCAATCCGAAAATGATCGGTGCATCTGTTCTCCAACATAAAACTACCGGTCAGACTACAAATAAGGTTTTGATTCACAATCGTTTGTGCACATTTTATCGAGAAATGTACAACGTGTATCAGTTCTGTTTCTTGCACTATATTTGTTTCCAACACACTTGATGTCGGGGTGCGTTACAGCAGTGAACTAATGCGTAATCAGTGACAAAATCGCTTCGAAGAAAGCACAGATAAACGCAGAGAAAAAGAATCAGTGCATTTTGGATACTTAATCAAAACAGAGGAATAATTTGCGCGAAAAGAAACCACATCTCATAAATCAATCAACACTAGCCACCGAATCATTTTACCCTCGGGTCTGAGATAGACTGAATTCCTATCGACTATCTGGGTTTTCGAAAATAGAAAGAAACCAATTATCAACAAATGAGGCGAGCGTCATGGCAGATACCTCTATACTTGTAGAATGATTGTTAGGCGAAATTATTGCGAGAAGGCTGCTTGCATAAAATGACAAAACTTACTTGAAAATTCTCCAGATGCTGTGATCGGAATGTGTTTCGTTGGAATCAGAACCGAATTCAAATGAATTTTGAACAAAAAGAAAGCATTTTAATGCGATGGAGATGTTCGTGATAATCGACAAAGAGCACTGGACAGTTGTTCCGTCCTATTTGGGACTCGTCAGCAGTGTGTACTTTTTGTGTCCCTGTCAGGACTCGTACCGCGACTCTTCGGGTTGGAATTTCAGACCCTTACCCTTGAGCTACTCGGTCGAAGGTTATCGCCTTGTACGATAGGGTCAATCAATTTAGATGGCGAATGTTGAGATTAGCTCATTCGGTTTTTCACAGACACCAGGCATTAATGATGATGTTGGTTGTGGGTTTCACTCCTTGGGATATCAATAATTCCCCACTGTTTGTTTGCGTTTAAATGCAAACATTTCCATCGTATTTAAATGCATACACACAGTGGGGAATTGACGATCTCCCAAGGAGTGAAACCCACAATCACCATCGTCATCGATGCATGGTGCCTGTGAGAAACCGAATGGGCTAATCCCATCTAACGAGAAAACATCGTGAAAAAACTATGAATGCAAATGCCAGCATCTTTTGAATTTCAGAACTCATTATTGATTGGTTAAAACAAAATAGCCACATTTAAATAAGTCGGCAACTGTTTAGATAGATTTGCTCAATTTTTGTCTCTGTGTAGTTTTATTGATTGGTTTAAATTTTTACAAACACACATGCTGTCTTTTAGTTTATTATTGTGAAGAACCGGTAAAGGACAGACACACTTATCGAGAAACCATACTGTTCCTTTGTGAAAACAGGGAAGAAAAATCATGAATCTGTGAAACTGACAGCATAATCTCGTAGGTTTGATAGGGAAAAAACATTTTCTCCTATAAAAAGTGACTATTTCCTTCAGTTTTTCCCTATTTTCCGAATTATTTTTATAAAATTTGAATATCCAAATTTTCGGGCCGGAAAGGCCCCAGTCCACACCACCGGCTGCGGTTGATCCCGATTGGTCCATTCCTTCACAACTCTATACTTTCGAGCTAATTTTCAAGGTCATCTCTGACTGGTCCCGGAAATGTATGTAAACAAAGAAGTTGTCTATCGTCATCGCCATTCGGGTCGAGCCAAATATGCAATCTCATCTGAAGGCCAGTTTTCCGTCTTCTCCCTGGTTGGGTTCGGGGATCGTACTATTCAAGCGGGGCGTTCTTCTGGTTCCATTGGGAATTGCGCTGGATACCGCAATTTGGGTGTATTTATGTTGTACCCACTCGGTCACTGGGTCGTTGTGGCTTCCGCTTTTGGTCTGTTCTGTTGCTTGCTCACTGGGCTAACAGTCTAAGCTATTCCGGTCATACCGTTTATCCGAAAGTTACAACAGTGTGTTACTCAATCTTATGGAGAATATCCATTTACAGCCAAAATTAGATCTCCATAATAAAATTCAAACCCCATGCTTTATGAATCGCTTGTTCCTCACTAGTTACCTCTTTCACTCAAGCATCTCATGTCGTTTGTATCAATTTGGTAAATAGTGATTGAATTGTGGATTTTCATTCAGGTATGGCGAGCAAGCGGT